ACAGAAGCAGCCCTAAAGGCTGCTGCACAGCTATTTATACAGTTAGCCTCTAGGTGGCAACCAATAGGTTTAAAGTAACAGTTTCCCGCCCCAAACCTCATTATCAGCTTGGAGACAGCCAGTCTGGCTTTCAGTAACAGCAACTGTTAAACAATACAGCAATGTAGGTCAGACATTAAGCAAGTGATTTAAAACAGTTATGGCCAATACATTACAGTAGCCATCTTTTTCTCTTTCGCTTTAGAGTTAGATGATGCTGGGGCGGGGATGTGAATGAGAATCTAGGTAGACATAACAACACTAAACTTAGCGTGAGAATCAAGGTTATTGAGCTCAGAGCTGATAAAGAATTGGCGGGCTGGAGAACTGGAGAGGAAGCCCGCGCTTCAAGCTAATTGGGGAATGTGATTTATGACTGTCAATTGGAGGAGGGAATTGTGCTTTGATACTATGTGGCCAGGGGAGGGGAATTCAGTTTTTGGCTTTGATTAGGCAGTGCCGATATTACGCTACTCGAATAACAGATTCTTTAAGGTAAACAATGCCTCAAAGTTCTTTTGAAGAGTTTCATCTGTCGGAACCATGACAGACTGCTGTAAGAATCAGGAAATTGGAAAGGGCTTCAAGTAAAGCAGAGATCTGGGGAAGGAGACATTAATCTCCACCTAGAAAATTTCCATTGAAGGAGAGGCCACCAAATCTGAGTTAACTTGCTGAATAGATTATTCCCTTTCACAGGTACTTCCCCCCCCCCCAAAAAAAAAACCTTATTGTTATTTGGGATTTTCAGGACTCCACAACATCTAGAAATCCACAGAATCCCAAATCCTGTCTCAGAAGGATTTAAGTGTTTGTTTCAATTGATTGATTATGTGCCATCAAATTGATATCGGCTGTTATTGACCACATAAAAGGAATCCTCAACTTACAACGTTTGCTTAATGACCATTCAAAGTTACGATGACCTTCTGATAAGCAAAGTCAATGGGGAAGCCAGATTCACTTCACAACTCTGTTGCTAGCTTAACAACTGCAGTGATTAACTTAACAACTGTAGCAAGGAAGGTCATAAAATGGGGAAAAATTCACTTAACAAATGTTTCACTTAGCAAGAGAAATGTTTGGCTCAGTTGTGGTCGTCAGTTGAGGACTACCTGTAGACAGATTGTTTTACAGGTCACTAAAAAAAAGTATGGAAATTCACCATGATGGTCAAACAAGATGCTGCAAAGAAGGAGGAGGAGGAGGAAGAGGAGAAGGAGAAGCAGGAAAAGGAGAAGCAGCAGGAGGAGGAGAAACAGGAGAAGGAGAAGCAGGAGGAGGAGAAGGAGAAGAGGAAGAGAAAGAGGAGAAGAGGAGGAGAAGAAGGAGGAAGAGAAGGAGAAGGAGGACAAGGTAAAAGAGAAAGAGGAGAAGGAGGAGGAGGAAGAGGAAGAGGAAGAGGAGAAGAAAGAAGAGGAAGAGGAGGAGGAGGAGGAAGAGGAGGAGGAGGAGGAGGAGGAAGAGGAGGAGGAGGAGAAGGAAGAGAAAGAGAAAGAGAAAGAGGAGGAAGAGGAAAAGGAGGAGGAAGAGAAGGAGAAGGAAGAAGAGAAAGAAGAGAAAGAGGAGGAGGAGGAGGAAGAGGAAGAGGAGGAGAAGGAGGAGAAGGAGAAGGAAAAAGAGAAAGAGGAGGAGAGGAAGAGGAGAAGGTAGAAGAGAAAGAGGAGGAGGAGGAAGAGGAGAAGGAAGAGAAAGAGAAAGAGGAGGAAGAGGAGAAGGAGGAGGAAGAGATGGAGAAGGAGGAGAAGGAGGAAGAGAAAGAGGAGGAGGAGGAGGAAGAGGAAGAGGAGGAGGAAGAGAGGAGAAGGAGGAGAAGGAAGAAGAGAAAGAGAAGGAGGAGGAAGAGGAAGAGGAGGAGGAGGAGGAGAAGGAGGAAGAGAAAGAGAAAGAGAAGGAAGAGGAGGAGGAGGAGAAGGAGGAAGAGAAAGAGAAAGAGGAGCAGGAGGAGAAAGAGAAGGAGAAGGAGGAGAAGGTAGAAGAGAAAGAGGAGGAGGAGGAGGAAGAGGAGAAGGTAGAAAAAAAGAGGAGGAGAAGGAGGAGGAAGAGAAGGAGGAAGAGAAAGAGAAAGAGGAGAAGGAGGAGGAAGAGAAGGAGGAGGTAAAAGAGAAAGAGGAGGAGGAGGAGGAAGAGGAAGAGGTAGAAGAGAAAGAGAAGGAGGAGGAAGAGGAGGAGGAGGAAGAGAAGGAGGAGGAGAAGGAGGAAGAGAAAGAGAAAGAGGAGGAGAAGGAGGAAGAAGAGAAGGAGAAGGAGGAGAAGATAGAAGAGAAAGAGGAGGAGGAGGAGGAAGAGGAGGAGGAGAAGGAAGAAGAGAAAGAGAAAGAAAAAGAGGAGGAGAAGGAGGAGGAGGAAGAGAAGGAGAAGGAGAAGGAAGAAGAGAAAGAGGAGAAGGAGGAGGAGGAGGAAGAGGAGAAGAACAAGGAGAACTAACCTGTGGTGGCTTCAGAAGAAATAGGACCAATACGTTTTTGACCAGAAATTCCATAAAGGTTGAACTTGTACTTGTGGGATGGAGTCAGGTTCAAAACAGCGACTTCATATGAATCTCCCCCCACGGGCAGGGTTTGGGTTCTGCCCTCCTCGTCTTTATATTGGAGCAGGAAGGAGTCAAAGCTCCCCACGGAGACGGTCCAAGAGAGAAGAACAGAGTTGCGGCTGACCTCAGAGATGGAGAGTTCTCCTAAAGAGGGCTTTGGTGTCGCTTCCTTCTTTGTGGTGGATGCTGGGACCAGAAAGGGAAAACAGGAATGAAAATAGGGTCTGACGAGTAATATGAATCAAAGCCAGCTGGGCGACCTTGGGGCAGTCTCTCTCTCTCAGCCCTGGGAAGAAGGACCAAACGCTTCTGAAATCTTGCCAAGAAGACTTCAGAGATTTACAGTAGAGCCACCAGAAGCCAATGCTGACTCGAAGGCACAAATTACAGTATATATCAGTGGTGGCGAACCTATGGCACGCATGCCAGAGGCGACACTCAGAGCCCTCTCTGTCGGCATGCACGCCACCACCGCCAGCAGCAGGTCCATCAGGCCGCCACCGCCGCCCGGAGCAGGAGCCCCACCCAGCACAAAGGAGGCAAAGCGGTCGACTAGCAAGCTCGAGTAGAGGTGGTAGAGCAGAGGTCACCAACCATTGTCCATTGGTGGACTGGAAGAAAAAGGAGGGAGAAGCATTTTACATGCGTGCATGCGCGCATGGGGCCGTGAGCATGCATGTGCTGCAAATGGGGCAGGGCTAGGGCCTGCGTGATACTCATTAGCCCTGCCCCGTTCTTGCGTGGTGCAGCGCCTTGTATCTGCACCCCGTGGCGTGGCGGCGGCCGTTTTTGCGCCTTGCAGCGCGGTGGCCCATTTTTGTGCCACCAGTTTTTGCATGTCAGAGGTGGCACTCAGAGGTGCCTCCCTGCCCCTCCTCCCAAGGGCATCACAATGCTGATGCAGTCCTGGCACTTTGTGATAAATAAGTGGGTTTTGGGTTGCGGTTTGGGCACTCGGTCTCTAAAATGTTCGCCATCACTGGTATATATATTCATTGTATATGTACAATTATCCCTTCTGTTGTCTCTCCTTCCCCTTCTCCTCTTCCCTTTCCCTTCTCCTTCTCTTTTTCCTTCCCCTTTCCCTTTCCCCTTCTCTTTCCTTCCCTACCCTTCTGTTCCCTTCCCACTATAGGTTGCCCCAATCTGAACAACTTTGGCCGGCATACACGAGCAATACAAAGGATGAATATTTTCCTATGTTAAAACAAAGCACACTCGCTATAGTTTTAAGAGAAAGCAATCACTAACAGTAAAAAGCAGGCGTGCTTCGGAAACATTCTGGAGTCCAAAGGCCCATTGAAAGAAAATAACAATAACAATAAAAATAACAACAACAACAACAATAATAATAAAGTTGGAAAGGACCATGGAAGTCATCTAGTCCAACCCCCAGTTCAGGCAGGAAACCCTATACCATTTCGGACAAATGGCTATCCAGTCTCTTCTTAAAAACTTCCAGTGTTGGAGCATTCACTGCTTCTGGAGGCAGGTTGTTCCACTGGTTAATTGTTCTAACTGTCAGGAAGTTTCTCCTTAGTTCTAGGTTGCTTCTCTCCTTGATTAGCTTCCACCCATTGCTTCTTGTCCTGCCTTCAGGCGCCTTGGAGAATAGCTTGACTCCCTCTTCTTTGTGGCAGCCCCTAAGATATTGGAACACTGCTATCATGTCCCCCCTCGTCCTTCTCTTTGTTAAACTAGACATACCCAATTCCAGCAACCGTTCCTCATATGTTTTAGCCTCCAGTCCCCTAATCATCTTTGTTGCTCTTCTCTGTACTCTTTCTAGAGTCTCAACATCTTTTTTACATCGTGGTGACCAAAACTGGATGCAGTATTCCAAGTGTGGCCTTACCAAGGCATTGTAAAGTGGTATTAATACTTCACGTGATC